CTTAGCCAGTTGACTTGCAGAGTAGAGGGAGACTCCACTATGTTTATATATAAACACAGAGGTGTATTTATGTGATTAAGTAGTCTTCTGGGGGTTGGGCTAGGAACTTTTTTTTTAATTCCCAGAAAATAATTATGTAGTCCCCTCTAAAATCTTCATACACAATAATTTCCTGTGTACAAGACACAGAATATGCCCTCATGGAACAAGTAGGCTGCAAGGTGATAGAAAATAGACAACATATTATATAAACAATCATTCAAACAGAATTTATATTAACCTTAACTTCATTATAATTATGGTAAACACTTTGAAGGAGGAAGTGAGGTCGAGGAGACACAGGGAAAATGTATACCACAAAATCAAATAAGAAGCAATTGTCGGGGCAACATTAGCATATTTCTCCTCATTCAAATGATGCTGTAAATCCGTAGGCTGAGAACTTTGCAAATATATTACACTATATGAATAATGATGTAGTAGACAGTTGATTCTCCTTCATGGTAGTTGTGATCTATAAAGTCACTACATTCACTGAATTAGCAAATACCGAACCGATGTTGTTTGACCTCAATTGGGAACACACACGTTACTTACTCATTTTTTTGTTGTTATTGTCCAGGGCATGTGCATGTCCATGAGTGAGTGCAAAAACTCCGGACTCTTTGCTGTGAAATTACAAATAAAATTTACCATTTAGTCAGTTATGACAACTGTGAATAGTAAGGATCAATAGTAATATAGTATTTAATTTATAATGTCACTAAAATCATTAATTTTATGATTTAATTCTTAAATCAATATAATTAAATGCTAAAAATGGGGTATTAAGGAAAAGAACACAGCGTTGGGCTTCTGGGACTGAGCTCATTGGTTTACTCGGTGGTGGGCAGATTATGCAATCAGCTGCTAACTACAGACTTGACACTTCAAACCCACTCAGTGGTACTGTGGAAGTAAGACTTAGCAATCTGCTTTCATAAAGATCACAGTAAACAATAGCAACAACAAATAAAATAAGCCTCTATGGAACATCTGTACTCTTTAATTCATGAGTCTGATATTGAGCCAACTTCAACTCGGTAGCAATAGATTTGGTTTGGGATCCAAGCCTAATATTTCCACTGTAGGTCACCTCTGCCAGGGAAGACTGATGACTGGAGCCATCCTTTCTATTAGTGGAAGGGAAGCAAAGCTCCACAAATGCCTTAAGAATGGGGATTACTAGAACCTCATGACTGTCAAGTCTGTCCTATTTTGGACATGTATTTTGTGTTGTACCTAATTATTTATATATTGTATTATATAATTATTTACTCTTGCTCATGAGTTGGCATAGTCTTGATGACAATGGAAGACACACAAATGCACAAACACACAAACATGCACAGGAAATCTGTAAAGTTGAACCATTTTAAGATCATAGAATTTTCAGAATTGGAGGGGACTTTAGAAATCACCAGGTTAGATCTTGTCATTTTAAGCTTCAGACAGAGAAATGCAGACAGTTACATTGTTGACGGCAGGTCTTTATAAAATGAGTCAAGTTTTCTGAGTTCTTTACAAGTTCTTTTTTTCTATGATGATGTTGTTGATGGGTGCTGTAGAGTTGAGTATGGCTCATAGCAACCCTTTGAACAACAAAACTGAACCCTGCACTATTCTGAGCCATCTTCACAAGCTCTGATACACTTGAGTTCATTGCTGTGGTCATTGTGTCAATCCATTGATTAAAGGTCTTCCTCTCTTTGGCCATCCCTCCACCTTCCAAGGCTTGATGTCCCTCTCCTATGAACTTGCACAAAGTATATGAGACAAAGTTTTATCATCTTTACCTCCAAGGAGCACTCTGGCTGTACCTTCTCCAACACATATCTGTTTGTCGTTTTGGCAGTCCATGGCATATGCAGTACTTTTCTCCAGTACTGTAGTTTAAAGATAGCAATTCTTCTTCTGCCATCCTTATTCATTTTCCAGCTCTCAGATGCACAGCAAGTGATTGGAAAAGATGGTGGCCTGCATCAGGCATACACCTTAATCCTCCAACTAGCATCATTGCTCCTCTGTAATTTCTGTGACAGAATTTGGAAATGCCTGTTACTGTGGATGGAGCTCATGTCATTTTGTGGTATTTTGAACAAGAAGTAATGAATTTCTAAGTCATATGTCTCACATATTACATATGTGAGCATGTTGTCAAGAAAAGCCACTTCTTGAGATGTTGGGTCAAAAAAAAGGAGGAAGACCCTCAATGAGATGGATTGACACAGTGACTGCAACCGAGCTGAGGAACCACTGTACCACCTGGACTCCTCAGGTTTGTATTAAGTGATCACATGTAGAGCTTGTCAATTGCAGGGGAATGTGGGACACACAGGAACAAATAGGATGAGTCTTTAGTTTTGTCAAGAGAGAATCTGAGATTTATGCAACAGGAACTCAGGCTACTAATCTCACTATGGCAATTACCTCTTCTTAGAAAACAATTTTTATATACACTCTTCCTCAAAATTATCAGTAGTCTTTATGACCTTCTGAGATATGTGATCAGTTCTTTGATAAATAGTGAGAATGATGAAGTCAATCTAGAAATCACTCTGTGAAATCTGTGTTTGGGTATTCCCTCCGCCCCCTTACTAGTTTATTTACAAAATTCAAATACAAATTCAAACAAATTCTTTCAATTCCCTTCACTCCTCCCCCCCCATCAAATTGTACAACCCAATGATTAATCCCCCCTTCTCCCTGTACATCCACATCCCTCTGCTTTCAGCCTCTTCCCACTCCTCTTGGATCCTTATACTCATTCTACAATAACAGTCTCATTCAATATTTATCTTTGTGAGACTGAGTTAGTTCACTCAGCATAATGCTCTCCAGTCCCTCCCAAGTTACGTAATAATTTTCAAAGTTATTGATCCTGCATGCTGCATAGTATTCCATTGTGTGAATATACCATAATTTCTCAATCCATTCATTTGTGGGTGGACATTTGGGCAGTTTCCATGTTCTTGCAATGGTAGACTTTTAAAAACTAAGGCTCTTGGCATTTGAATCTCATTTCATTCATTTTTAGTTACATGACTTAGGCTACGTTTTTCCTAACCTAAGACTGAATTTCCCATCTTGAAAATGATAAACACATGGTATCTAATAAGTATGGCGTGACATAAGTACCAGCGTATATTAAGTAGTTCATAGATGACCTTGATGCAGATATATGAGCACTGTCTTTACCACTCATATCCCCAGTCACTCACAATTCACCATAGTTGTTTTATTTTTCATTGTAGACTCTTCCCAAAATCCTTGATAAGCTAGCACCGGCATTCACAATGGGCAGCTGTAGCTTCCTCATCGAGAAATCCCGAGCCTCCACAGCCAGGGTCGTGGTGTGGCGAGAGATGGGAGTGTCCAGAAGCTACACCATGGAGAGCAGCTACTGTGGCTGCAACCAAGGCCCGTATCAGGTATGTGAGGCTATGGGCCACCCATGCTTTCTGTCAGCATTAATAAACTGAAATCTGAGGGCTATAAAAGACGCTTTGATTTAATCCTCTCACCTGAGGGGGAAGAAAGGCTGCGAGCAGCATCTATCCCAGTCTCCTGCTTGTGGAACTGGCTCAATGATTGCCTTCACCTGTGGTCTAATCTGTTTAAGTCGGGGAAGCAGAGTGTGCATGCCTTCTGATCTGATTCTTCTATCAGTTGTCGGCAGCAGCAAACAGCAGGAGTCTTCCCCTTTACCTGCACACCAGCTTTTAGAAAACTTGTGCCTCCATATGCTTCTTCCCTTTCTTTTTCTTTTTTCTTTTTTTGAGCAATCCCTTTACACATCGTAAAAGGCATAAATTGGTCTATAGACAACTGGCGATGCTTATTGTGCTTTTCTGTCTCCTGTGCTGATTCAAATCAGCAATTCTTTGTGTCATCCTGTGTGTACAGGGAGGCGAGCCTCTCCAGAATGTGCAGGTCTGGGACTCGTGTTCCAGGGTAGAGGGAAAGGATGCTTGTATAAATCAGGGTCTTTCTGCAGCTATATTAACTGCCCGAGCAGCTGGAGAACAACTAGAGCAGACTGCTGTAGCTGTTTTTCCCACTCCCCCACTAGAGGAGTATAAATAAGGGACACAGAGACAGTGCCAGAGTATAGATCCATTTAAATTTGCTAGGCAAACTGACAAACTACTCCTTGGTGACTTCCATTCAATCCCAAGAATGCTTGGACCTTACCAGCATGACAGAATATTGTGTTGGCTTTGATACTCTCCTGGAACAGCCAGCAGGCACTTGGCACCTGTGTACAATCTGGGGCTTGTAGAATCTGTTATCTATCAAAAGAAGGACAGGAAGTGACAGGTGATGAGCATTATCTAACTTCCTACCTGGCAAAAGCATTTTTTCCCTTAAATACAGGACTGCTGAGCAACCACTTTTGAACCATTAATTCTGTCCAAGAGCCAGTTAGTTCTCCTAAGCAATTATTTGAAAGAATTGTTTGCTACTGAATAAATCAACTACTATAGTTATTTGATACTTATTTACCCATATTACTATAGATGCAGAGAAGAGGGACTGTTAGATAAACAGGGAATTGGACTTCAAAACCCCCTGTTGTTTCTAAAATTATTTTATACGATATTTGTCCTTATGGGACTGAGTTAGTTCACTTAGCACAACACTCTTCAGTATCTTACAACTAGTAAAACGTGTATGAGGGTCTAAGAGGGTAGAGGGGGAGGAAGGAGTGGGGAATCATGGGGTGCATGGTTTGATGGGTGGAGGGGAATGGTGGTTTGGGAAGGTGTGGGGGGGGGAATCCGGTCTGAGGGGCAGTGTATATGAACTTTATAGGTAAATCAGTGCAAAAAAAATTTTTTTAAAAAAAAAGAATTACAAGAAGTAAAAAAGACCAAAAACTCTCCTTTTGTTGCATTTACAGTGGAGTTTCAAGTGACTTATCTCTATGAACTCGTGTATTTTCTGTATAATATTCAGATAATTCTAGGAATTCCTCCTCTCCCTATGACACATGGCTTTTTAAAAGGGCAACATTAAAGGTACATGTGAGTATACTTGGGAATTAGAATATTGTTAATCTGTTTACACTCAAAATCCATAAAATTAGAAAAGTAAGTTTAGAATGTTGTAGCTTTGTGAATAGCATTGCTGGCCTAGTTTGTAGGAGTTTGGGCTGCTACCCCAAAGACTGCCTCTCTGGTGGGCCCAGTTCATCAGATGCTCCTCTGAAGAAACATGAACAACCCCCACCTGTGAAATTTACAGCCTTTGAAACCCAAAGGAGGGGTGATATGAGTCACTTCCCATTCAATGGCAAAAAGTTAAGGTTTTAAAAAAAATTGTTCACAAGGAGCTCTAGAGCTATAGGTAGGATGTTATGTGATAAGTACCTGAAGTAGACACTATTAATTTAAAACCACTGGCAGCTCTATGGGAGTGACTGGCAGTTTTCTCCAATAAAAATTTATAGTCTTGGGAACCTGTTACAAGGTAACTGAGTTGAAACTGGCTTGATGGAGGTGAGTTTGGTTTTTCGTTTTTATGGCTTTAAGGCTATGAACTTGTACCTCTGCTTGTAGTTTATGTCTCATGGTGGAAAAGGACAAGACCTTATTTGAAAGACAATTTCATGCAAACCTTCACAGATTTATCAGATTGGTGACTATCGAAAGCTCTATTTCTCCCTGCATCAATTCAGGTTAACAGCTTCTGGTTGCAAGTATCAATGTCATTCACTAGAAATCACCTGAAAACTCCGAGTCCTTGAGAGATATTGTTGGATATTTAGTGACTCATAGTTTCAGACCTGCCTGTACAGTGACTGTGGAAAAGGACCAAGAATGAGTGACTTGTGCAGTGTGATGGCACACAAGTATTGCTCAATATTTACCTTAGAAAAATTTCTGCCTCACCTTTAAATGGAGAATGTACAAGGGGAAATGAAGAAAATACAGGCTAAAGAAAGGCCTCTCAATGCCAAGCCTGGATTTTACTTCAAGGGGCCAATCTTATATATGAAACACCTTTCCCAATGGATTGGTTTTCTCTTTTTCTTTAACTTTTTTGTGCCTCCAAATGTTGCTAAGTTACCGAACAGAATTGCAGGAGTGAGCCAAGAGGATGGTGGGTGGATTTGTATATGGGAAGGTCCATCACACAAAAAAGAAGTTGGTCCAAAGTTGTGTGTTGGTGGTTTTGTTTGAGGTATATAGTGGAGCCTTGAAGCTATAAAGCAGTTTAGAAATTTCCATCTTGAACATATTGCAAATGACTTTCATACATACATTGGAAAGCCAGGTCCCAACTGAGTCCTGAGGTTTTTAGTCTAAGGTCATCTTTACATTTTTTTTCTTGAGCATTACCATTTATCCAAAAGATGGAGGGTATTTAAATACACCCATGAGGGGCATTTTTTTCCTTCCTTCATGAGAATATAAATATTTTTGCAGTTTCTCTGGTTAACACAGCTTTAAAGTAGTTCCAATCATTTCTCCCTCAGCACACTAAGTACCTGATTTGTTAGCACTGAAATGAAATATCATTTCTTACAGTGACGTTTATGTTGGAACTGCATTAAAGAACATAAGCTATTATTTTCACATAAATATTATTAATATGATATTTTCTCCTCTATTTTCCAGTCTATAGTTGACTAAGTTTCAAAAAATTCCCCTGATTTTCTTTCTTTGGAATAGTCTCTACTGTTCAGTCATAGACTTAGATTCATAATTTCTATTTAACATTCACTTCCCACCCACTGAGAGATTTACTTTACCTATTAGTGACTGGCCCAAAACTGTTGAAGCTATTTAATGGAAAAGCCAAAATGAACAGTACATTCTTTTGGGGTTCATTTGTAAGAGACAACCACTCTATGTGGACAGCTGTGTGCTTCACACTGAGTGTTTGTGACCTAGGATCACATATATCATGCACTTTCACTTGTAAAAGGTGTATGACAGGGCCTCCCTAGTTTCTTGTGCATTGGGAGGATAATTTGAATATCCAACTTGAACATAGACATGTTGCTTGGCAACTCCACTGACATGTGGGACTGCAAAGCGGGTCTTAGCAGAGGAAGGACAAAAGATGAGTGACTCAGCTGAGAGTTGAAGGGGTGACTCCACTGGTGTTTAATACCCAATGTACAAACTGCCTCTCCCTTCTGTTATACACACTCCCTGCAATCATTCTCTATCACCAAAAGAAAGATGCTTTAATAACTTAAACCTATTTAAATTACTGTGAGAATGGTGAAAGATAGGGCAAGGTTTCAAAGTGCTGTACTTAGAGCCGCTATGAGTCAATAGCATTTAATACCTGGAGAGAGAGAGAGAGAGAGAGAGAGAGAGAGAGAGA